TTTTAGAACATCTATCCAGGACCTTCTGGCCTTGAGGGTTTCCACGGAGAACTCAGGTGTAATTTTGATAGGTCTGCCTTTATATGTTACCTGTCCTTTTTCCTTTGCTGCTCTTAATATTCTTTCTTTATTCTGTATGCTAGGTGTTTTGATTATTATATGTCGAGGGGTCTTTTTTCTTTGGTCCAGCCTATTTGGGGTTCGGTATGCTTCTTGTACTTTCATGGGCATGTCCTTCTTCAGATTTGGAAAGTTTTCCTCGATGATTTTGTTGAATATGTTTTTGGCACCTTTGAGCTGGGCTTCCTCACCTTCCTTTATGCCTATTATTCTTAGGTTTGGCCTTCTCATGGTGTCCCACATTTCCTGAATGTTTGTGTTAAGGACTTGTTGGATTTATGATTTTCTTTGGTCGATGAATCTATTTCTTCTAGTTTATCTTCTGTGCCTGAGATTCTCTTTTCCATCTCTTGAATTGTTTGTTATGCTTGTGTCCTTAGTTACTGATTTTTTGCCCAGCTTTTCAATTTCCAGCATTCCTTCAGTTTGTGTTGCCTTTATTTTCTCTATTTTAGGTTTCAAGTCTTGAACTGTTTCCTTCACCTGCTTAATTGTTTATTCTTGGCTTTCTGTACTTTCCTTAAGGAATTTGTTCATTTCTTCCACTTTTTTGTTTGTTTTTTCCTCCATTTCTTTAAGGGATTTTCTCACATCTTCTTTGAGGGCCTCTATCATTTTTATGATGGTAATTTTTAAGTCATACCCTTCTGCTTCCTCTGCTTTGTTGTTGTGTTCCATTCTAGTTGGTGTAGATTCCCTAGATTCTGGTGGTGTCATGCTTGTCTTTCTGTTGTTAGTTGTTCTCTTGTATTGCCTTCTTCCCATAGCTTCTTCCAGTAGGTGTTGTTGGGGGTCTCCCCCTCTCTCTATGGTACTTCCCCGATGGGCTTATGTTGGTCTGAGATTCAATATCTGTAGCTCTGTGTGGTCCAAGCTCTCTAGGAGGTTTCTCCACAGACAGGGATCCAGGGATGGGGTCAAGGATGAGGAGCCAGAAGAAGATGCTAGCAGGTACTCACAGTGGTCCTCTGGCCAATAGCTCTGGCCAATAGCTCTGGCCAATAGCTGGCGGAAGAGGGCAAGGGCTGAGCTGGAACTTGAGAAGGTTTTTCAGGGTAGTGGGATCTCACTGGAAACTGGCGCTCTCCAGCTGAGACCTTGTTCTTTGGCAGAGGCCAGGATTTGGGGGTCAAGGATCTTGCATGCAGGAACTCAGAGTGGACCTGCAGAGATAGGTGGATCTCTGGGAGGGGCCCGGGACTCCAGCAGAGGACTGGAGGCGGGGTCAGAGACCAAGCAGGTGGAAATTAGGAGTGGTCCCTCGTGGATCATCAGGTCTCCTTTGTTCAGAGTTGCTCCCAGAAGTCTCCGAAGTAGGGTGGACTGTTGGCTCCACCCTCTGTCCCAGTGCTCAACCAGATTGGCAGGACCATGGGTGGGGTAGGGCACAGGGTAAGGGGGGTTGGCTGGCGGTGGGGATGGGTGGGGGGTGTATCAGAGCTCCAAGGGTGCTGCTCTGGATGGGGACTGGAGACAGGAGCAGCAGGATCAGGGGCCAACCCAGGGAGTTCCCAGCTATCAAATTCTTAAGAGCATAAATTTTGTCCTGTGATCTGTCTAGCAGAAAAAAATTGTATCTGCAACTTCTGTGTCCAGGAGGTGTGTATGTTATATATTTGCTTCCCAAAAAAAGCATTTAGCCTGCTTTTATAGAACATTGCCTTTTCCAAGTTTGGTTTTGCCTGTTCCAATATCTACCCACTGTGCATAGCCAAAATATTAAGCCCCTGTACTAGGATTCAGAATAATATAAACTTTTATCCAAAATAGGTTTTAGATTATGATTAAAGTGAATGCATGGTTTCATAGATTTATTGGGAACTGTAAGATATCTGTGCTTGGGATGTGTGGGTGATAGTGAAGACAGTTTAAAGATCTGAGAAGCCTGCTTGTTTGTGTACTCTTAGGAACAGAAGTAATATGATGATTGATGACAAGAATGAAAGGAACTGAAATTTCCAGTGGAAGAGAAGCAGTCAGTGAGTGAGGTCCATGTCCAATCAGTTTAGTGGGTGTACACTGTCCTTATTTACTTGCTTCAGACATGACATTGGTTTCACTTTTCTGTGTTTCGTGACTTTGCATGAGTTGTCTATTGAATACTATTTATTAGTGAACATAGTAACTTAACTGTTAATTGCCAGACAGGTTACAGACTGTCAAGGTTGGTTTTGGTTTGTTTGCTTTACATTTATCCTCAGAAGAGAGAAATATGGTTAGTCCAAGTGTAGTACCCCAAAGAGTGCATTTTCTTCCAGTATGACTGCAAGAAGGGAGTGCTTTTGTACATGAATGGAGTGGAAGCAGAAGAGTGGAAAGACCAGGTCGTGGAATTTATTCTGGAGTCATAGAAAGAGTGTAGCTGATATTTTCAGATTTGTATTTCAGGATCAACTGGAAGAAACTAAAATAGACAGGAACAGCAGTGGCCAAGTGATTGTTTTTCCAGAACAATAATGAGGGATTCTACTAGGACATCAGTCATGAAGATAATGAGCAGATAATCTCCTAGGGACGTAGGCAGGTGGATCAGTAATGAACTGTGGTTATTGGTAAAATAGAAGCAGTGAAGGAGAGACGAAAGGATGAGGCCAACCTTACACTGTGTTTGGCTACCAGGTAGTTGGTGTTCTTTAATAGGAGGGAGAATGCAAGGGAGAAGATTTGTTAAAAAAAAAAAATAATAATAATAATAATAATAATAATGAGTTCACTTTTGAGTATAACTTACTATGTATGGAATACTTAAGAAAGATCTCTGTAACTTCGGCCTTGGTTTATAAGCACTGGCTTGCAAACTTTTGAAGACCACAGAGGCTGTCTGTTCTCTTACTAGTAAAATATGACATCCTCACGAGTGCCAGTGAAAGAGCGGTCATCACATGAAGAGAGGTGACTAGAATAGCTGGTGTCTCTACATTTGTAGCTTTCCTTTCATCACATACAATCCCTCCCACTGTGCTCCCCTAACTCCAGCTTCAAGGGCTTGGTATCCGGGGTCACTGCTGTTCCTTTTCTTTTCAACCTGAACTCACAATTCTTTTCTTAGTCTTCTATAGTGTGGCTAAGAAACTCTCATATTTAAACTAGTAAAATCTTGTGATTTTACTTAGAACTCAAGGAAACAGTAAAAACTGTCATGAGCATAAAACAGACTTAGTCAACATGGTTATTAAATGTGGCTGGCATTCTGTGCATACTGCACTTGATACCCTCTGGAGTCCCTGGTGGCATGTCTTCTGAATAGTCTCCTAGCTTGCCTAATGCTAACTTTCTTTCACATGAAGCAACTCAAGCCCCAAGATTCAGGGTGAAGAGATCCATTCCCCAGCCCTGCACATGTTTGTCCCCTCTCTTTTTGGGACAGCATAAAAAGTGTTCAGAACCTTCAGAGAACATCTCAAACAGAAGAAACTAATACAATATTTAGAGACATGGAAGTTATATTTCCTACTGGATTTTGAATTATTCTTTAACATTGCCAATTTCCCACGGCTCTTGCTAAAAGCACCTGTGTCCAGCTAGTTTTCAGAACTGTACCATGTGACCTTGTTAGTCTCAGTTAACTAGGTCACAAGTAGACAATAAATAGCAGTCCCAAGTGTCAAGTCAGAATTACACCTCTATTTTAGAGTGGAACACTAAAATAAGTCAGTTAGATTGTGTTCAGCTTTGATTAGTCAGACTATTTTATTCAGGCTGATTAAGTTTGTTCTGGAGAATAAGCTGAGAAAACCATTCATTCCATGGAGAAAAGCAGCAGCCAGAGCAGATGACAAGTTAGTCAAGGAGGATCGGGCTTGATAGATGAAAGGCATTTTCTTAATCCTTGAGTATTAATACTTTGCTATCAGTCAAAGCAAACAGCAAATGCTTGCGTTGAAAACCATTTTAAGTGGATTCAGTTTCCTTTTAGCTTTGTTTTATAGCCAAATTTATTCTTAATACAGCATGATGTATAAGATTGATTTGATAAAAGAATGTCATGTCAGTGCTATTCAATAACTGATGGAGTTAATGAGAAAATGTGCCATGATTTTGTCATACTGATATTAGGATATCCTACATAAGGGTTATTATTATTATTGTTGTTGTTGTTGTTTTAAAAAGAAACTGTATTTTGTTTTTCTAATTTCTTACATGACTTTAGAAGAAGGATTAGTAGTAATTACCACTAGCCACAAAGCAGTGATAAAGCAGCTGTGCAGTGCTACAAGATTGCTTGCAGTATCAAAGAATCATGACAAGTCCCCCAGTGTGTTCATTAGTTACCACAGATGCTCATTCTGAGAAAGGAGCACATAATTCAGTAGCTTGCAGTTTATTTATTTTTTAAGATTTATTTATTCATTTTTTTATGTATATGAGCGCTCTGTCTTCATGTACACCAGAAGAAGGAATCAGATCCCGCTACAGATGGCTACAGATGGGTTGTGAGCCACCATGTTGTTGACCTCTGGAAGAACTGTCAAATGCTCTTGACTGCTGAGCCTTCTCTGTTGCCCCAAGTAGTTTATGGCTTTAATTACTAACATTCCTATTTATTCAAAATGATTTCTATCTTTATAAAGGTGAAATGATTTTGGAGGTTTTTCTTTTTTTAGTTTTGAGACAGGGTTTTGCTATATTGCCTAGGTCAGCCATGAACCCATGATTCTTCTCAGCTTCCCAAGTACATGTGATTACAAGCATGCATCACAGAGCCCAAATGTGTTTTGAAACTTTTATTAGAGAATTCTTAGTATCTGTCACCATATGTTTAAAAAGTATTAAAACTCATTTTTTATCTATACCAATAACTGTTTATTAATTTATCTGTAAATAAAACTATAACTATTTTACTCTACTATATAATTGTATAAAATGTAATTTCTTCACAGATAAAAAATACAGTGTTGGGGCACCAGCTAGTACATACCGCTCGTCTGGCTATAGTACAGTATCACCAGAATCAACGTCCACGGGCTCTACTATTCATTACTGTGGTTTGAAAGATTTTTCAGAGGTAAGAGAAGCTGCCAACTGCTTATATGATTCCTAGAAGAAACAAGTATCATTATAGTATATGCTGTGTAGTATATACTATTGGCAAGAAAAATGGTGAAATTGTAAATCTCCTCTCTGCAGGGTTCTGTGTGTTCACTAGAGTCTCTTTGTGCAGTGTTTCAGAGTGTTTGTGTATTCATGTTCCATCTTTGAGGGTTGTTTACTTTGAGAAATTGTCTAAATGTGTTGCTTTTTAAATTAAAGGAAACAACAATCCAGAAAATGGAAAGGATGAAAAAAATGTAAGTAACAGAGGAGCAACAGAAATCTTTTCTCTGTAGGGAAATGTATTGGAGTGTAGTATACATAGAATGTACACATGTGTTTCAGACCTTGAATATTTCAGTCAGGTGTGGAATTTCCTTCACGATTCCAGTGTATAATTAATCTCCTTCCAGGAGTGTTTATGAGATGAGTCACTGTTTTGGTTTCCAGCAAATGGTATAAAACACTGTTTATAGAATTAATCATGGGTTACAAAGGGCAGAGATGCTTTGGTTGATGATTAATTCAGATTTCTCTATTTCTGATAATATTATGTGCACGTAGATAAGTAGTTGGGAGACATTCTCAGTCTTATGTTAGGCTTGCCAGTGTTTCCAGTGAGTTATTGATGCAATAGCACCAACAATGATACTTTGACTGAGGACAAATAATAACATTACATCTACTTTTAGCAAAGAGTGGTTTAAAGGAAATATATGATCAAATGGTATCAATATTATATACCCTGCCGCTGTAAAAAACTGGAAAGCTCTTTGACATTTGAAAATTTCTAAAATAACTCATGCTATAAGAATTGACTTATTTATGTTTGCTCTCTTCTATTTATATGTATCAATAGTAATTCTACTAAAATATGAAAAACAGCTATATATTTATCTTAGGCTCAGAAGCATGTGTCTGACAGCTTCAGTCCTGGTCTTCACTGTGAGCTATGCACTTGGCTGACGTGTGATTTGTTCTGTTTCAGGTTTGAAGAGACTGCAGAGCTACTGAAATGCTCGAGTCACTAACTGTAGAGTTTTTTACATGGACATCTCTAGGACTTTGGCTACTTATATATGCTATATTTAAGAACTCCTTGTATAATTTTAATATACTGTAATATTTTATTAAGAATTTGAATTCTATTTGGTATGTGAGTTTTTTTCACTCCCAAATAAATACTTTTAATATCGTAAGCTATAATTGTACTAATTTTCTCTTTCTGATTTCTTGGTAAAGCTTTCAGTATATTGCTATTACAGAGTGAAGTTGTTATACCTTCTCTGTATTTTTGTATTGACATTTACTGGCAGTGCTAAGTATGTGCTAGAGGACCATGGTCTGTATCCTATTGGAGACATTCCAACTAGGGCTGGCGTGTTGTACCCAGGAGGCTCTCATGTGTACATTCCTGCAATCTGTGCTGGTGAATAGATTGTAATTCATAGTTAAAATGTTCACTGAGAACGAAACAAGTGCAGCAGCTTCTTTATTACCATGGGAACACAGAGAGCCTGGTTCTGTGATGTGTTCCCTACGTGAAGTGTTGCTGAGTACTTAAGACCATCAGCACAGACATAGATGTTAGCCTTCCATGTGATATATGGTAAAGGAGGTTTTGACTTCCTATTAATGGAGAGAGAAAGTCTTAAAATTAAATTAAAATTAAATTAAGATCACGGAGAAAGTTACTATGTAAATATTGTTCTAACTTTGTAAATGAAAATGTGGTGATTATAATTCTGGGTGATAGAATTATGGAAAGCTATCTTCCTGTTTTATATTTTATGTTAGTCACCTCATTATACTACACAATTTGATTTTACTGTTGAGTAAACTATTAATTTATTATAAATAGAAATAATGAACAAGCAGCTTTTACTATTCTAATAAATGTTTAATGCTTATACTTTAAAACTAATATTTTATGTTAGCATATAGAAGCATATAACCCTGAATTTAGTAGCATTTCAAAAGAATTTCTAGAATTAATGGGTGCTGTTAGCTTTATTTTTTCAATTAAGTATACTTAGAAAAGTCAAGAGAATCTAGTTTTGTAAATGATATTCCACACCCTTATATGAGTGCCAGCATGGACTCACAGCACAACCGTGTGCTTAGCACATCACTCTACTTTTAGTGAAACTCATAAAACTCAACCCTAATTTCTCTTTTATTTCCTTTTTTCTTTTTTGGTTTTGTTTGTTTGTTTGTATTTTTTGTTGTTTGTTTTTGTTGAGACAGGGTTTCTCTGTGAACCCTGGCTGTCCTGGAACTCACTTTGTAGAACATACTGGCCTTGAACTTACAGGGATCATCCTGCTTCTGCTGGGATTAAAGGCAGGCACCACGCCTGGGTATGGATAATATTTCTAATCTAATTTATGTATGAAATAATAGATATTGCAAATTAAAGTTTTATATTAGGAACTAGAAATCTGGAATTAAAAAAAAAATTTAGGGTTTTTTCTAACAACATCAATAAAAATGAACTTACAGTAGTATTGTATACTTACATTTACCAAGAGATTTATTTTGCAAACAACTTCTAGAAAAATAAAGTATGACTCATTGAAATTATTATAGATATTGCCAAATTATTCTCATTTAGAAAATGCTTTCTCAGGCTAGAGAGATGGCTCAGCAAATAAGGTCACTGGTTTTCTTTCTGGAGTACCTGGATTCAATTCCCAGCACCCACATGGCAGGTCACAACTGTCTGTGACTCCAGTTCCAGGGGTTCTTTCTTACAGATATACATGCAGGTAAAACAACCAATGCACATAAAATAAAATATATCAATCATTACAAAAATGTTTTCTCTCAGGGAATTTGATAGTGGTTTTTAATAATAAAACATCCCCTTTGGTTAAACTGAAGGTCTTGAGGAAGGTGTAGTTTTATCATGGACCCTCAGCTAACTGTGAATTTCTAGAGTCTATCCCTTGCCAATGAGCCTTTCAGTAGCTTATTCTGCCCAGTGAGCAGTTGTGCATGTGTTCTTCAGCTGAGAACCCAGGAAACAACTGTTCATGGGTCTAGGTAGGAATACTGTAAGGAATGTGGAAGGTACTAGTCAGGGTTGAAGAGTAGCCTTCTTGTTTATAGAATTTCTTGGCAAGGGCAAGGACTGCTGCCCTGAAGACAGCAGCTCTGTCCAGGTGTTTTAGTGAGAAGTTGTTACAGGGAATACATTCCTTATAAAACTTAAAGGCTCTTCTATGCCATTCTGTACACATTGCTTCCTATAATTGATCAACACCTAGGGAGGCACTGAAGACTAAAAGGACTTTGTCAGCTTTACACACGCAACACTTCCTCTAGCTCAAGCAACATTACAGCTTTAGTTTCTCCATTTTAATAATCCCTGGCCATCTGTCATTCTCTCTGAGGCTTAATGCAGACAGTTCGATGGAGGACATAGAATGAAACTTTAAACTACAAAACCAGAGCTTAACTGTTGTGTTACTTGAGCTTTTCTGCTGAAAATTACAGGTTTCTTATTAGCACCAGATGGCTAGGAACCATATAGGGCCTACAGCAGCAGCCATATTGAGAGCACTCAAATCGATTTTTATTAGGAACATTTGGAAATACATACTTTTGTCATGATTTTTAGGAATACTTGTAGAAACAATTGCTACACGTGTCTTTTTTCTTCCCTAAACCACTAAAGTGAAATTTCTCTTTCTTCTTTGGTTGCAGTACTTGGATTTGAAGCCAGCTCCTCACCACACATTAGATATGTGCCTATTGATAAACTGATATCCAAGCTCTCTTATTTGCATTGTTGAAATAAGGTCCTGGTAAGATAGTAAAGCTGGCTTTGGACTTGTCATTCTCTGGCGTTACAATCCCTAGTAGCTAGAATCATAGGTAATGACCCCCATGCTCCACACAGCATGTGTTTGCTTACTTATATTTGATGATGAGATTTCTCGATGCTACACAGATTACTCTGCAATTTAGCAGTACTGATCTGTCTGCTTCAGACTCCCAATTTTATGAGCCTACAAGCATGTGCTACCAAACTTGTTAATAAAATTATTTTGATTTTAACTTTTAGAACAGAGGGTTTATGAAACAAACAACCCAAATGCATAAACTATTTGAACTTTATATTATAGACAAGTACTAAAAAAATAGAGACCCAGTAGTTAATAATGTTTTCAAATGGGTTCAATTCCCAGCCCCACATGGTGGCTCACAACTGTCCATAACTCCAGTTCCAGGGGATCTCACACTTTCTTTTGACTTTCAGGGATACCAGACGTACACATGGTACACATACATACATTTGTATAAACACATAGACACACACACCGAAAAACAAAGAAGAAGAAGAAAAGAAAGGAAAAAGAAAAGGCAAAGGAGGAAACGTCTAGGAGAGAACTGGTGATAAGAAGGCTAAATATTTTGTAGTCTCAGTAGTTGAGTTCAGTATGTATGCAGCTGCTGTACAACCAACAACTTACTAATTCATTAGATTGTAGTTCTTTGGTTAAGTTGGTGTTGAAAGCTGGAGAGACCCCTGGAGGCCCCTGAATTATCCCATTCTTTTTCTCATAAGCTCCTTAATATCCCAGCTCTTAACCAGGACAGTTTATCACAGTAGAGTTCCGCTTTTCCCATTCCCAGTCAATGCTATCTGCTATTACCTTGCTGTCTTTGAAGCTTTCTTTTTCTGTTGGGAACCAAGTCCATGGCCAAATACATACTGAAAATTTACTGTGCCATTGAACTACCCATCTGTCAATGTTTTGAGTTACCACTGCTAGGATATTTATGAACAAAACAAAACAAAAACAAACTGGTTTAAAGTAAACTGGGATAATTATTGCTCACTATTAAAACTATCAGTTTAAAATGCAGTGGAGTCGCTAAAACCAGTGTCTAGTCACCTCTGTTGCCTTCTAGAAATGTCATACAAAGGTAAGAACCTCATCCATACATTATTAACAAATGAATTCACAATGAAAGTTGACTGAATGTTAAAAGAAAAATGAATTTGATATTTAAAAAAAAAAAAAAAAACACTCTAATTCCTGACTTAAGATTGGTTGTTCACACAGGGTTGCCTTGCAAATATAGGCTGATGGTTATCTAAAGATTATCCCAAGATTGCCTCTGTTCCGTAAGTCTCAATAAGCTTAGTTTAACTGGCTCAGTATGAAAGATTATTACTTTTTTAGCTTATTGGACAAATGTACCAGGGGGAAAATAACATTTTTTTTCTCTTTTTTAATTTATTTATTTTTTTCATTTTTACATACAACCCTAGTTACCCCTTCTCCCCCCTCCCACCTTCTCCCTGTCCCATCCTCATCCACTCCTCAAAGTGAGTAAGGCCTCCCTTGGGGAGTTCACAAGGTCTGACATACCAAGTTGAGTCAAGACTGAGCCCCTCCTCACCTGTAGCAAGGTATCCCACCATAGGAAATGGACTCCAAAAAGCCAGTATTTGCCTCTTGGTTAGGTCCTGGCGCCACCCACAGCCCCACCCCCACAACAGATCAAATCGCATAACTGCCCCCCACATTCAGAGGGTCTAGTTTGGTCTCATGCAGGTTCTCCAACTGTCAGTCCATAGTCTGTGAACTCCCAGGAACTCAGGTCAGATGTCTATGGTTTTCCTCATCATGGTCTTGACACCCCTTGCTCATATGATCCCTCCTCCCACTCTTCAACTGAACTTCAGGAAGACAAATATAAACCTACATCCAGTAACTGATGGAAACAGATACAGTGACCCACAGCCAAGAAAGTAACATATTAATATCAAGTAATTCTATAGGGGGGAAAACAAGCTGAGTCCATTTGTGGATTTCAAACTGAGCAGGTGTGAGAGTTGGATACAGGTCACAGGCCTATAAAAGCAGACACAATATTAGTGATAAAGAGGTAGCTAGAGTTCATAAGTGCTCTGGTACCATCCTGTCATGCTGCTTGACAAATGTTCACAGAGTCTGGTTGTGTTTGCTGAGGGACAGTTACCTGGATCTGTCTGAAAATGTGTTGTCAAAGTTGGACTTCACAGCTTCCAAACTTAAGGCCTGTGTGTTGTAGGTAATTTATATGTGCATATGCACAGAGCCCAACACCCTCAGGAGCCATGAATCATTGCTGGCAGTTATATCCCAGCCTCTGCCTCCAGGGAGCTATTCAGACAACATTAAAAAAAAAAAAAAAGACCATC